AAAATAAATAAATAAAAAAATAAAGGTCAGCACAGCCCAATTGATGATAAGAGGTTAAGAACAGAGGTTAAGAACCCAGCCCAGCATGGTGGTACATGTCTGTAATTCCATCAATTCTGAAGGCTGAGGCAGGAGGATCACAAGTTTGAGGCCAGCCCCAGCAATTTAGTGAGAACTTAAAGCAATTAGTAAGACCCTGTCTCAAAATAAAAAATAAAAGGGGGTGAGGATGTGACAGAAAAGAAACGAAACCAGACCCTAGAGCTAAACCAACAGTGTCTGACTGCAAGTCCTACTGGCTCTATGACCTTGAGAAGTTATTTAATCTTTTTAAACCTTTGTTCCTATCCAAAATAGGAACAGCAGCAGCTACTTCCCATACAGATTTGAGAACCGAGTCAATACACATAGTCCCTACCACACAGTCAATGCAATACAAGCCTGTAACTTCTGTCTTTTACTATCCCTGTCCCCAAAGTTAAACACTCTCTTCTTTGTGCTCAAGGCACTTTAACAAAAGGGATAATAACTACCTTCCTCCTTGCACTGTTATGATCTCAGGGCAAGAACCTTGTCCTATTCATCTTTTTAGCCTCAGAGAATACCATATTACTTTTTCCGTGGTGGTACTGGGGATCCAACCCAGGGCCTTGCACATATTAGGCACTCTGCCACTGAGTTACATCCTAGTCCTTTTTATTTTTGAGCCAGGTCTCACTAAATTGCCCAAGCTGGCCTTGAACTTGAGTAGTCCTCCTGCCTCAAGTTTGGGCCATGATGCTCAGCTCTATGTCACATTTTTATTGGGAAAAAAAAACTATTAATAAACGTGGAATGTGTTTAAACTAAACGCTGTGCATGTACAAAATAAAAAGCAAACAGCTGTGCCAAGTGTTGAAAGAACAGGTAGTGAGGAGGAAAGCACTCCACAACACGGAAATGCATGCATAAAGCAGACATTTAAGTGCAGAGGTGCAACTGGGCAATGACAACAGACGAAGGTATGTGTAGGGTGGGGGCAGCATATTAAAGCCAGCCAGAAAACAGTTATAAATGCTAACCTAAAGAATCTGGACTTTACTTCAAAAAGAATGAGGTTGACATTACTTTTGACTCACGAAATGACTTAAATGATTTCAGTTATGTAACTATGCATAATGTGAAGGCTGGATTAGAAAGTAGAAAGGCTAAGGATGGACAAATGATGGTTACTGCTACAACTCAGGAAAGAAGTAGCAAAGATTAACTGGAGCCATAGAAAAGACTTAAGATGGGATACACATTCTAAGGTAAAATTAACTGACCTCAGTGACTATTCTAACATAAAAATATGTATGATTCAGAGGTTTCTTGCACAACTATAAAATGAGGCCATTAATGAAGATAAGGAATACAGAGGGAGGAGGAAGACTGAGTCCAGGATAAGATATAGTTACCCCACCTAAAGTAATATTTTTTTAAGAGGGGGGGGTGGAGAGAGAGAGAGAATTTTTTTTAATATTTATTTTTTAGTTCTCGGCGGACACAACATCTTTGTTTGTATGTGGTGCTGAGGGATCAAACCCGGGCCACACTCACGCCAGGCGAGCGCGCTACCGCTTGAGCCACATCCCCAGCCCCTAAAGTAATTTTTTAAAACAATAAACATATTATTTAGAATTGGAACCGAATGCTGAGAATTATGCCATCACTTTGGCATGTATTACACTTAATTTAACAAACACATCACAGCAAAATGTGTTCAGTTCAAAGGGCTCATTTGTTTACTAAATAACATGTTACAGTTTTTCATTTGGGGGAAAAATCTATTATGCTGCGATGGAGCTGAAGAGATCAAAATGTGGCCAATAATTTTCAACACTGTGTGTTGTTATAAACTTATTTGTTTCTCACAAAACAATACTTTCTTGATGCTATAAGATTCTGTTCTGATCCAATTATCATGATGAAAACCTACTTGCTGCTTTGTACACTTTTTATTTTTGAAGGTGGGATATTTCCTCTGCAACTCATATCAAATACTCATTTCATGCTTTTCTCTATCAAGACTCCCTTTCCTAAAGACTGAACAAGATGATCTAAACTAAAACTGCAATGCCTTAAAGTTCTAACTGTGGCAGTCTATTTCTATCAGGACAAGTACAATTTAAGGAAATTTAAACAGGGCGGGTACTTCTGTTCCTGAAATGAAGAAACACACAGTAACTTTGTGAAACAGTGATCAAACTTCAGTGCACAACACAAACTCTTGGATGTTAACGTAAAAAGCAGATATTTGGGCTTGGGTTGTGGCTCAGTGGTAGAGCACTTGCCTAGCATGTGTGAGGCACTGGGTTCGATCTTTAGCACCACATAACAAACAAACAAAGGTATTGTGTTCATCTATAACTTAAAAAAAAAAAAAAAAAAAGCAGTTATTTGGGCCAGTATGGTTGCACACAACTGTAATACCAGTAACTCAAAAGAAGGCAGGAGAATTGCAAGTTCTTAGCAACTTAGCGAAACTCTGTCTTAAAATAAAACATAAAAATACCAGCTGAAGGTGTGGCTCAGTGGTTAAGCACCCCTGGGTAAAACCTCCAGTACTTAAAAAAATAAATAAATTGTCTTCCCACCCCAAGAGATTCTGATTTAATAAGGGCATGGGATCCATAAATTTTTGTTTTGCTTTTCAAACACTACAGGTGATTCTGATGGAAATATTTCAAGGCCATTCTGAGAAACACATGTAATAGTTCCAATGTCAGTAACTAGGTTTAAAATCCAGCTCCCATTCACTGTGTGACCTTAGACTACTTTCTTAGTTTCTGGAAGGTTTGGATTTACTATAAAAGGGGCATACTTCAAAGATGTTATTAATGAAATAATGCCAAAATAGTGCTTAACAATGTGCTCAGCTATAATTATTACTATAATTCAATTCACCTAGTTCTATAAGACAAAAATAAGGAAAAATTGGACATATGTACACATTCACCATGACATCTAAAAACTTTCTAACTCATAACTATGTTTTTTCTTTCTTTTTTTTTTTCTTTATCGCAGTACTAAAGATCAAACCCAATGCATGCTAGGCAAGCACCTACCACTGAGCTAAATCCTCCACCCAGTTTTTTTCCATTTCATATTAAAGTTTTCATCTCCAAGATTCTATAAGAACCTCCTAGTCAGGCATGCTCTTTGTCTTCTTCCCCTTGAATTTTGTAATAATTGAAAAACGCAGACATATTACTTAAGTGTTTCCAGTCCTATAGGGAAATCTTACAAAGGCATAAAGTTATGAATACAAATATTTACCAGAAAATATTCTACTTTTCACATCATCAATGTAAATGCTCCAAAAATTAGTAGTTTTATCAAACAGATCTTAATTTAAAAAAAAAATCCTATTTGCTCTTTTCATGTAATCACATAAACACAAAGTTATCTAAATAATGAAGGTCATGTTTTATTTTTAGAAAAAAAATCAGTTTAATTGCACTATTATCAATTCATTTAATTTCATTAGTAGCTCTGTTGGTTTCCCCTATTTTAAAATCCAAAATATAATTTGCAAATGCTCACATAATTCTCTTATCCCAGAAGATACATATACATTTGCACATACCCATTTCATTTTATAGTTCTCTGAAAAGAAATTTTGGAAACTAGAAGTTCTACAAACTTTTGCACTAACCAAAAATCCTAAATTTTGTGTAAAATGAGAAAATTATTAATTAATTGATCATTCATAAAAATATGCAGCATCCTCTGCATCTTATTATTTGAAAGCTTAATACTTACCACCTCATTTCATTAAACACAGCAAAAACAGCTAACAAAATTTTACCCCCTACCAAAAACCCACTAAAGATGTAGCTCTCACATTATCTAAGATGGATAATGTGAAGGAACCAGGGACACTTTGCTGAGCAGCAATTATCATGTATCAATATTTTTCGATGTTCATTTGTACAAGGCACCATACACATTACCATTCTTTGCTCAAGGCAATCGGAAGCAGAGTTGAGAGAAATTGGAATCTAGAAGGCCTTTAACACCAAAGGTAGAATAGTAGTTACCAGAGGCAGGGGGTGGGGGAAGGGTTGGAGGAAAGAGGAGAGATTGGTCAGATTGGTCAAAGGGTACAAACTTTCAATAATTTAAATAATTCTGGAGTTCTAATTTTCAGCCTGGTGACTATAAGTAAAAGAATACTTGTAATTTACTGAGAGTATATCTGAAGGGTTCTCATCAAAAAAGTAAACTGGCAATTACTCGAAGTGAGGTATATGTTAATTAGCTTCACAGGGTAATCATTTCACAATGTATACATATGTCAAAATATTACGTTGTACATCCTAAATATACACAATTATTATTGTCAGCCATACCTCAATAAAGCTGAGGGAGATACCAGGGAACCCTGCAAAAGATGGGGCTTTGTTTGTTTTTGATGTTAGAAAAAGTAAAGAACCATGGGCTACCAGCACTTTGTAAAAATCTGGTAGGACGCTGAAGAACAGTTGAGGTTCGACGACTGTGAAAATCCTTGCAAAAGGGTAATGTAGAATAAACCTGTACTATATCTGCTCGAGAAAGAGAAGGGTGGGTAGGAGAGGGTTCGAGAGGTTCACAACGGGGGAAGATTGAGGGTGCCGCCAAGGAAGGTCTGAGGACGGGTTTTCTCGGCCTAAGTGGCGAGAGAGTGGAAGCATAGCAGCTTGGCCTCCACCTCCATTTCCCTACCTGCACCCTGCTGGGAGAGGGGGAGGAGGTTCACTGGAGGGTAGGATCTGGGACTGGAGAAAAGAAAGCCGCCCCGGGTCCTCTGGAAATCAGGAACAGAGCGGCCCTCAGGGAGGAAGGGCTGCAAGAGGGCGGGGCGCGGTGCGGCGAGGAAATCCAAAGGACTACGACCCAGACGTGCGCAGCGCGGGTGGAGACCCCTACTCAATAATAACACCCGGGGGCTGAGGCAGGGCAGGGCGGATTCCGCAAGAAGACGAGACAGAACTTACTCCGCGGTCTTCCTCCGAGAGGAAGTCGGGGCCATCGTCCAGGCCTTCCTGCTGGGTCGGCGGGCCGAGCGCGCCGAGGAAGAAGATGAGGTGGGGAAGACACAAAAGGAGACATTAGTGCCAGGCCGGCGCGGTCCCCGCGCCCGCCCCGCGCCCGACACCCCCACCGCGCGCCCGGGGCTCCGCGCGGCTGAGAACACCCACCATCATGGCTGCTCCGAGACAAGGACCAGCGCAGGCGCGAACACACTGCCAGCCCGAGGGAGCCGGCGGCAGGGGGTGGGGCGGGGTGGGGTCTGGGGGCGGGGCCTTGGAGACCCGCCCCGTCCCGCTGTAAGGGGACTGGAAGGGTGTGCCAGGAAGGGAGAAGGACGCCGGTACCTTGGCACATTGGAAAGCCCCCAAGTCAGGGAGGGTTCCAAGCTCCAGACCCAGCTGGTGACAGTTAGCGGCTAGTGAGCTCTGATCCGAGAAGGGCCGAAGGCCACCCAGGGTGCTGTCCAGTTAGTTCCCTTGCCCTAAGGGCTCCAGAGAGAAACCTTTCAATCTGGTCTCTGTAATGAGCCACACGATAATTAATCACAATTAATATCACATTGCCTATGGAAGTTGTGGGAACTAAGGGCCTTCATACAGTAAGCAGGGGCTATAATCAAGCTTTTACTACTGGCTAGGTAATAACTACCTCAGGGTTTGGGGCGCTAATGTCTGAGCATTATAAAAGTGAGCTGTTCTCATTACAAGAGTATTCCTTTCCTTTCTAGGAAGAAGTTTCCCCAGACCTACTCCAGCTGTCCAGCCAGATAGCACTACACGGTATCCACAGAAACTTCAAGATAAATCATTCCTAACCCCTGCCATACACTCACCTCTTGCGAACAAACACACACGCGTGTGTGTGTGTGCGCACACACACACACTCGCAATCTCTGTGCTTCCATTCAGTTAATGGTATCAGCATCTAACAATATTCAGGCTAGAAACCTCAGTCCTGTTCAAATTCTTCCTCTCTGTCCTCACATCCAGAGAAATGCTATTGCTTCTACAATTGATTCTCTTCATATTTCTTGAATTGGTCCCATTTCTCCCACTTCCATCAGCATCCCTTATCTGGACCTTTAATAATATCCTAACTTTTATTTTTTGCATTTTCTTTATTCTACGCACTACTGCCAGTTTTCCTCCTAAGACTTGGATATTGGTGATAATACTACTACTGCCCTACTCAATAATCTTTACATCTTTACAAGCCTCCATAAAATAATGATCAACTAACTCCTCAGCCTACATTCCAGGTCATCCACTTTTGAATTCCTTTGTATTGCCAAGCCCTCCATGCTTTTTTTTTTTTAAGTTGTAGATGGACACAATACCTTTATTTTATTTGTTTTTATTTTTATGTGGTACGGGGGATCGAACCCAGTGCCTCACTCATGCTAGGCAAGCACTCTACCACTGAGCCACAACCCTGGCCCCTTTTTTTTTTTTCTTCCCCTTTTTTGGTATCAAGGATTGAACTACTGAGCCACATTCCCTTCCTTTTAGAGTCTCAGTAAGTTGCTTGATGCTGCCTTGGAATTTGTGATTCCAAGCCTTAGCCTCCTGAGTCACTGGGATTACAGGTATACACCACCACCCAGTTTCCTTCATCCTATTTTTTTTTTTTTTTTGGATTTAAATTCTCAAAACAATAATAGTAAACTTACTAATATTTCCATGAAAACTTCTTATAGCTTTCATTTTTGTGTGTAAGGAGAACTGAGGCAGAGAATAAAAACAAAGGTTTACTCTCCAGTATGGTAGGGAGGAGAACCTCATTTTTTATCCTTTGTTTCTTCCTTCCCAATGCATTTTAATGACTACTAATGTGATCCTCCTCACTGGGAGTCACGAGGAATTATGCAATGTCACTGAAGTGTCAGAAGGAATGTTTTAAGAATCTGTTACTGATAAACAGTACTAATGATCCCAGATACTCAGGAGACTAAGGCAGGAGAATTACAAGTTTCAGGCCAGCCTCAGTAATTTTACAAGACTCTGTCTCAAATAAAAAAATTAAAAGGGCTGGGGATTTAACTCAGTGGTTGAGTACCCTTGGATTCTATCCCCAGTACTACAACAAAACAAAAAGTGCCAGTATTTCCTAATGACTTGTTTCTGAATTAAAGGTAATGCCTATAAAGCTTCTCCTAGGTTGAGAAAGAGGATTGGAGCTATAATAAAGGAGCAGAATTTGTGTACAACTGATAGGAGGTTCAGCTTTGGACGAAGGTCAAGAAGTGCCATATAAACTACTTCAAATGTCTATGATCATTATCCAGGGGTTTTAAATGTCAACATTAAAACAAAGTCCAGTAATATTAATGAAAAAACTTTAAAATTACTAATTGTGAATAATTAAAAGGATAGGATTCAAAATATAAGAAAGCACAAAATTATGACTAAAGATGTATTATATAATTACTGCAGCTATAATCCATAGCAGAAAACTCACATAAGTAGAGAACCCAATCTTGAAATAATAAAATTGTTTATTAATGCCTGAGCTTTCCTTTCAGAGCAAAGTTCTCACTATATTGGGCAACTGATAGTAACAGCTATCAAGAACTAGGTTATAAAGCTAAGGAAATTCAAAAGAAAAGAAATGAAGGTAAACTCACATAACTGCTTATTAAAGCTGAACCATACTGGGCACTGTGATGCTGGGTGTGGTATGCACATTTGTAATCCCAGAGACCCTAGAGGCGGAGACAGGAAGATCTCAAATTTGAGGTCAGCCTGGGAAATTTAGGGAGACCCTGTCTCAAAAGAAAAAAATTAAAAAGGCTTCAGAAGTGGCCCAGTGGTGGGCTGGGGCTGTAGCTCAGTGGCAGAGCACTTGCCTAGCATGGGTGAGGCACTGGGTCCAATCCTTAGTACTGCATAAAAATATAAGCAAATAAAATAAAGTCATGCTGTCCATCTACAACTACAAAAACAAAAATTTAAAAAGGAAGTGGCTATTCCTCCCATCCTCCCGCTCCCTATCCCACCATGAATCAGCCTCCTTATATCAAAGAAAACATTGGGCATTTGTTTTTTGGGATTGGCTAACTTCACTTAGCATTATCTTCTCTAACTCCATCCATTTACCTGCAAATGCGATGATTTTATTCTCTTTTATTGCTGAGTAATATTCCATTGTGTATATATGCCACATTTTTTTTTATCCATTCATCTATTTAAGGGCATCTAGGTTGGTTCCATAGTTTAGCTATTGTGAATTGTGCTGCTATAAACATTGATGTGGCTGTGTTCCCTTAGTATGCTGTTTTTAAGTCCTTTGGGTATAGACTGAGGACAGGGATAGCTGGGTCAAACGGTGATTCCACTCCCAATTTTCCAAGAAATCTCCATACTGCTTTCCATATTGGCTGCATCAATTTGGTGTATGAGCATTCCGTTTTCCCCACATCCATGCCAACACCTATTGTTGTTTATATGCATAATAGCTGCCATTCTGACTGGAGTGAGATGAAATCTTAGAATGGTTTGGATTTGCATTTCTCTAATTGCTAGTGATGATGAACATTTTTTCATGTATTTGTTGACTGATTGTACATCATGTTCTGAGAAATGTCTCTTCAGGTCCTTGGCCCTTTTATTGATTGGGTTATTTGTTTTTGTGTGTGTGTGTTTAGCTTTTTGAGTTCTTTATATCATTAGTATCCAAAATACATGTATGAAGATACAAATTGGTGTGAATATACCATGTATACAATCAGAGATATGAAAAATTGTGCTCTATATATATAATAAGACTTGTAATGCATTCTGCTGTCATATATAAATTTAAAAATTTACATAAAAAAAGAAAGTGGTAGTGCACCCCTGAGTTTAACCTCCAGTACTGAAAAGAAAAAAAAAAGTTAAATTCCTTTGTTTTATCATGTTCTAATAATCAAAGATTTTGTTAGTAGCAGATGCATTGGGTTCTCTACTCTGTGTCTTCATGAGAAGATTTCAAGCAAGATAAGTATAAAGAAGTTAGCCAGGCACAATGATGCTTGCTCTCAGCAATTCAGGAAGCTGGGGTAAGGGATTCGCAAGTTCAAGGCCAGCCTCAGCAATTTTGCAAAGCCCTAAGTAACTTAATAAGACCCTGTCTCAAAATAAAAAATAAAGAAGGGCTGGGAATGTAGCTAGTTGGTAAAGAACCCCCCCAGGATTCAACCAATCCCTGGTACCAAAAAAAACGAGACAGACAGAGGGAGAGGGAGAGGGAGAGAGAGAGACAGACAGACAGACAGATAATGGGTCCTCTGAGAGAAGAAGAAAACTCACATCTTTGTCAGCTCCATTTTATTGGGGTGAGAGGGGAAGTTTCTAGAGAGTCCTGCCTGAGCACTAACTCCTAGTTCTTGATTGATAGTTGAATTATATTGAATTTCTAAATCTCTGTTGTATATGCTTCACTCATGAGTATCTAACTGAAACCCACAGGGGTGAAAATTTATAATTACAATATGATTAAATAACAGGCCAAGGACCTAAATGCAACTTTAGACATCTTCATTCCTGCCTTCTGATTTTATCTAGAACTTGATTTCACAGCTTTGAGGCCATTGAGCTATCCAGTTTCTAGCTGAGGCAATAAGTCTTTATCTTATCAAAGGAGGAGACTTAGGCAAAAGCTCCTCAGCCCTGTGGAATGAGGCTATTATCTTAAGTCCCAGGATGATTTTTTTGTAAGTTATTTCTTTAAAAACATGTTGAGAATTAGCACACTGGCTCAGTCTGTAGAGTAAACCCCTCCTTTTCCATGCTCTCATTGTTCATGTCTACCTGATCTCTATCAATTTTAGTAAAAGATGTTTTATTAATTTCACACTTCTCAAATTCTAGGCGATTTCCTAATTTGTTCCCCCCTTCCCCCCTAAGAGTCACACTACAACAAAATTCTCTATGGGAAGATTACTGAACTCCACTTTTTCTGAATGAACTATATCAATCACAATGCTTTTGACTAAAAGCAACAGAAAACATCAATTTAACTAAACTTGAACAGTGAAAAAACTTATTCTCTTGTATCAACAACAAACAAGAAATAAGACATCTCTGGATATAATATAATCAGTGACTTAATGATGTGTTCAAGGACCCAGATTCCTCCCAAGTCTGTTTTACCATCTCCAGGGAGAATATTCTAAAGTTGGTTCTCCTCATGGTCCATGATGACTTCATCAATTCTAGGTTTCGTTATGACATAACAACACACTCAGAAGCACCCCCCACTTCACT